AAAACAAACCCATTGGAAATATCGCTCGCTGATGCAAGAAATGATGACACATTCGCTTTTGGGTGCTTTCGATTTCACGTGTACGTTCATATAGCTGCTGTCATTAAATTGCGTGTGTGAACAGTCGACGTTTTTGCAGACAATTGCTATTGCTAATGATAAGAAGCAACCATTTTGAACATTATTATCAGTTGCAGTTGGAAGGACGGATGCGATGGAGAGAGATTTTTATTTGACTGAATATTTGGGTGAACCATGTTCACAGATGAAGTGCATCTTGAAGCAACGATATTCAGATTTTATTGTCAACGAAATAACATGTGATCAAAAAATCACTGGTTTGTGCCCATTTGTGTGCTTGTTTGCAATGCACTGTGCTGTTGCAGTGGCCGTAATACATGAATGCATGCATGCCACTCTGTTCTGGAGAGCAAATGGTCCCAGAAATACACTACCTCAAGATTAATCATTTAAAATGTTCCAGGAGCGAGATTACTTCTTGACATCAGTTCACGTATTTCGACGCATCCTTGTTCATAGCATTCTATGAAATGTCGTAATTATGTCACGAAAAGAAACCGCATTTGTAAAGCTCCATTTAACTGCAACAAAAATATCATGCATCAGATCACAGTACCATAGATTACAGCAACGAGACTTGAAGAAGTCACCAGATCTAATGACAGTAACGAAATGAAATTGGTTTCGTTGGATGAATAAATTTCTCAGTTTGATTCCACTGATGTATCAGGAATGATGATACATCGTGCTGTTGAATGATGAGTCTATGGGAGAGAAATTGCCCAATACATGCGTCAGAACAACTTTNTTTTTTTTGCTCCATCAGTCGTGCAGTAAATTATAGAGATTTGCCGTGCTGAGGATTCGTTGGGTGTAGTAAACGATACGGATGAAGTTAAAAAATCGATCAACGACGAGGCTGGAAGTCCACCAGATGGTATCTCATCGGATCAAATCAGCGAGATTGATGAACTTTTAAAAGACTCATCAAAATCCGTTAAAATATCCACTGAGGTTCGGTTGCCTGCACTTTTGTCGTTGGCTTTGTCATTTTGTGATATGTTCATGTTTCACGCAACCAGGAAAATGAGGCGAATTTGCATGTTTAGCTCGATTTGGATGAGTTAAAAATTAAGTTCTGATTTTTATCATTCTTTCGAGGGCCAATTCGGAATTTGTTGACGTTTGCTTCAGTGTCACCTCATTTCATCCTTCATTCAGAATATGGACAAAACAGGAAGAACAAAAATTCATGAGTGGGTTCGGCAACGTTACAACGGCAAACTGAGCTCACAAACTCGTGATCAGTCCATTGTAATTTCGTGTTCTGGTAATGATAATAGGTTGGTCGCATGAATATTTCTGCTATTTTATGTTTCTTTCTCACTACGGTTGAAATTTTGTTCCACAATGGTGATGAGAATAAATCTTGTGTGCTTTCAATGAATTATTTTTAGGAAGCGTAGAATATGGCCAGAAGATCGACCAGACTATCTGCATTTCACACTATCTAAGGAGAACAAAGATTCTCTCTATGCGGTGTCTTTAATCGCCAAGTTTCTCGGGTCGGTCATGCTTCATTTTACGGAGTATTTCAAATCTTGTGATTAAAATGAGAAGTCTTTGTTGAGAATTTCTATGTCAACGCACAATTAAGTGTGATCCATATTGCATGAGATGTCCGCCCGGGTGTGGTCTTCAAAGAGCAGTAATTTATTCTGTTCTGGAATGTTGAGAAGAGTTAACTTTCAGTATAAAAGCCTCAAATTTTGGTTTATGTGGTCTGAAAGATCGGCGTGCCATAACCTCACAACGAGTTTCGTTGTATCGCATTGACGCGGAGCGTGTTCGTGCTTTAAATCCGAGATTACGTGGGATCCGACTGTCGGATTTCAGCTATGCGCCAGAAGCATGTCAACTGGGTCAACTGTGGGGGAATCAGTTCAAAATTATTTTAAGGTATCAACATTAACTTTTTAAGATATCAGTTGAAGATCGACCAGACTAACTTCTTTCGCAGTATTCGTTCTAACACAGAAATTTTTGTGCAAAGCTCGTTGTCTGTATCGTTTCTTCTTTTCTTCAATTTTTGTGAAACACCGTAGTAAGTGATGGAATGTAATAAGTGCTTGACAAGATTACTTCAGCCGAGTGAAATATGTATGCGTAATTTGATGATTTAAGATCGGTAAATAATTGTACAGATGACGTGGAAATCAATAGGAGATTAAATGAATTTCGCCAAATGGGTTTCATAAATTACTTTGGGACACAACGATTTGGATCGTGTGGTATTGATACAGCTGAAGTTGGCATTGCCATACTGAAGAAGGATTATGAAGCAGCTGTTCGCAAAATACTTAAGCAAAGACCCCTGAAAGGTGGGCTGATGTTTGCCATAATCCAGTGTCTTTTTTGTATTTTCAGTACTGTCATGGATAATCGAGTTTTACTGAGCATCACTTTTTGTTGTTTTTTGTTGAATTTACCCACTGTAAGTGAAAACTATCTTGAATGGATTACCTGAACGTCATTGAAACATGTATTGTAACGCCAATGAAACTATGATTTCATTTTTAAGTAAATTGAAGGCTGCTTAAATAGTGCTATAGAAGAGTGGAATCAAAGTGGTGATGCTTCAGCCGCTGTGAAGAAATTATTTGGTGGACAGGTATGATCGTGGTCACAATGCTGAGAGTAATGACCAATATTTATTCAATTTTTGTTGCCACTTTCACTCTATGCAAATTTTAACAGTGTACAGTGAATGTAATGATGACATCGATAGCAATATTATAAAAACGTTGTCGTCGAATAAATTGAACATTCGCATTCAAGGGATTTGCTTCAATCGAGGCTCGTCTGCTGTCATCGTTATCCAACGCGAAGGGTGATTTCAATGGCGCTCTGATGAGGTTACCGAGGAATAATCGCAGTTTATACGTTCATGCGTATCAGAGTCTTTTGTGGAACAAGGTTCGTTTTCATTTCTACTATTTTCCCGTTTCTAATATTTTGGTAACTGAAATTACCGGACATTATTTTTCTGCTCATTCATCTGCATCCATTCTTGATTTAAAACGTTTCGTGTAGAGTGTTCCATTTGGACAGTGTTGATACCAGTAGGGCTGAGTAGATCATCCGCATGAGAAAGTGCAGTCGCTGTGAAAATCGGTCGAGCCAGTAATCTGAACTAGATACCCAGGCTCGACATCAACTTGAACATCTCAAACTCAACAATTAATGAACATAACCTAACAGTTCACTTATTTTTCCCCCTTCAGTTGTTAAGTTACCTCAGAATGTCGCAAGCAGTTTGCGGAACGTTGATCATATTCATTACGCAATCATGTTCATTATCATATTATCCACGTCGGACTTATTTCTTCTTCACTAAGAATTGACCGTCATATTGATCATTAGTCACATTTTGGAATTGGGGATTTTGTGTCTATGTGTCTGCTGAAGCGCACAGCATACAAATTCATATTCTTAATCCATTCAATATATCCATTCGTAAGACAACGAAATTCACTTCAGATAGTATCACGTCGAATTCAAAAATACGGATGCAGCGTTTTGGAAGGTGACATCGATGTGGAAGGAGCGAAGCTGAAAGAAACTGATGATATTTCTCGTGTTGCCTTACCGCTTCCATCATCCGATATGAACTTACCTGAAAATGAAGGTTTCTTGATTGCTTTTTCCTTATATTCCCTCAAACGTTTTCGTGTTTTTCAATTGATTTAATTTTCTTCACATGGATTCAAATGAGAAATAAATAATGGAAATATTTTCCTGATACGTCCTCTTGTCATTTGTCACTTTTTTGACCATATCTTGTGTACAGTCGTAATCCATCAATTTCAGTTTCCGATTGGTACGAGGAGTGTATGCAAGAGGATGGTGTAACACGTGAAATGTTCAAATCGCTCGAGAGGTAAAGTTCCTTGTCGTTTGCTAATATTTATAAGTTTTTACACATCATTTTTTTAAAATTTCAACATCGTTCACTCTCGATTATTCATGTTTCGGTTTTTCAAATTTGGAAAAGCGATTTTTCATGATTCCTTTGCTCATGTATCTTTCACTGCATTTTCAATCATTTTGCAGTCAATACGCGATTGGAGGTGTGCTGCGACCAATGGTTGTGAAAGTTGAGAATGTTGCATACGAACTGTTGAAATATCCGGATAACGATACACGATTACAACCGGATTTGAACGGTGAATATGATGAAGACAAAATTGGCAGTGGTGATCTGAAGGCTGTTTCACTTACATTCTCGCTACAATCCGGTTGTTATGCAACTGTTGCTTTAAGACAATTGACCAGGTAGAGAATAACTTTTTAGTTTTACACTGCCACATTTATTATATTTTATTGATGAATTGGCTATAAGACACCAATCTGAATCAACAATGAATGTGAAGCAGTCATTCTGTAGTGGGATGTATTATATGATGTGCAGTGCGATACTTCATTGTGTTTGATCGTTCTTAGTGCAGTGCAAACAGTGGTAAAAGGGAACCTTTTAGTTATTTCATGCAAATGATTTTTTTTTTGAAGAGTTGGTTTTCTTTTGGGTTACACTCAGTTTATCTGACTTGCGATAGAAAAGACATTCGTTTGAACAAATGTGAAGAGAACAAATGTATTCATTTATAAACTTTGAGAGGAAGGCAACTCTTTCTTCGGAAATTATTATCAACTCGTATTGCGTTACTTTGAAAGAGAATTTTGATTAATTCAAATTTTACACTATGTTTTTGTAGGACTGATATGAGCAAAATGGCACAGTCGAATAATGGTGGAGCATCTGATGACGTGAATGAAGAGTCTGAATTGACAGCAACGGAATGACAAATTGCGAAGTTGATTTGATGTAAAGTTGCGAAAAATTGTTCGAGTGAAACGTTGCTGCACTAGTTATCAACAGTTTTTCTTCACTAACAATTAGATTATATTACCTATGATTCTCGGATGCTGTACCTCACAGGTTCATAGAATCTGAAATCAGCATACTGCATACGTTCCGTTCAAATTCATGTTTTGCTTCAGCTTGAGAATTTCCAAACAATCTTGTGCACGGATGAAGTGAAACTATTTAGTGCTATCGTTATTTATTCATTTGATTAGCAGATTATTAGGTTACCTTCATTCGTGTGATCGCTTCATTGCTTACGTTGCTTATCGTTAATATGACAAAAAATTAGCATTTTCATTGTTATTTCGATGTTGGCTTAAATTCATCATCG